GCCCCTGAAGCAGAGGCATCTGGGAGCCAGAATAAACAGGGGACAGAGGGACCGTCATAAAGATCATGAATGACCTGGAGGAGAGAGGAAAGCTGGGGGAGTTCTTTCCTTTTCTCATCAAAATTCTCCTCATCTTTGCTCATCAGGCAGCAGTGAAGAGCTCCTCTCATAGACTGCCATTAAGGTGGATGTCCACCCATTGCATGCTGTTGAGTGCCTAAGAGACAGATGAAGAAGACACTGCCTTTGCAAACACCACTAAATGGGACGAATCTGTCGTGGACTGTATTCATTCACAGCGCAGAGTGAGGGAAGTTTGTTTTTTCTAACAGCGGTCGAACAGAAGCACAGGCGTTTTGATATTTTTCCATCCTAAACTTAAACTAAACAGTTCAATCTCGTGCTGAGTTGCTGTTAAAACAAATACTCTAAACTATAAAGTACCAAATATAGCCTTTTTGTTACAGCCTATGACATGGATGGCTCAGTTTAAATTAAAAAAAACAAAACAAAGACCACTACAGTTGAAGGTGGTCTGACTATAGAACAGAATTCCCAAATATTGCCTGAGGTCAGAAGAGGTTTGTTTCTATACTTCATTATATACTGTAACATAATTAACAATATTTATGTAGTATCTGAGTTACTGCTTTCTGCTCCTGGCACTGTTTTGTGGTTTTTGTCAGACTCTCAACAACACTCGTTGAAACACATTGCATTTATATTGTGACCTATAAATGTAAGTACCTCAAAATAAACAGGAATGACATTCAGTGTCTTTATTTATTGATTTTTTTTTAAAGTTGGGTTTGGATGTATTTGAAGGAAAAGTGTAATTTATGAAAATGATTATACAAGTAAGGGATAGTGTACAACCATTATGTCATTATACTCCCCAAATATGTGGACATGAAATTGAAATGGTTGAAATTACACTTTAACATGTGTAATCTTATGTTTCCACTAAGAAAAATATTTTGTTAAGGGCCCGTTTACACAGTTGACTATTGCTCCATTGTTTTTCTGTGTAAACATGCACTTAGTAGATGGGTGTGTAAATGCGATCTATGTGAACTCAAAATGTACAAAACAGGTGGCTTAGTAAAAATACGAACACTACATCAATTACAATAACATTTTTGATAAAGTCCTCATATATATATACACATCTATATATTTATCATTATTAGGCCTATATATATTTATTTATTTTTTACTACAATTAATAATCGAGACGCAAGATGGCGCCAGTTGCGTTTGTATGAAACGAGAGATTAATTTCAGACATTAATGTCACTATTTTCAGTTAGGCTACGCGAATCAGCGGACTGATATAAACCGTGAACAAAAGACAGAATTCGTAAACATCAGGCCACCGAATGCCACGATTTACCAATAAAGACGCTATAATTAAAACATTAAAAACATTTTTTGTGTCATAAACAGGACAAGAATTACACAACCATTCAGATGCAAAAGTATTTGTATTGATAGTTTACACAGTGACAAGCTCTCAGTCCCTTACTTCCCACATCATTTATAGTCCGTATATTTTCCTATGCAGTTCAAACTATACAACACAAAATGTAAAACCTGATACAATTAATTTTCGCTATAGGCTGATTAACTCCAAACCCGAGTTATATAAGCCGTCTTTTGGTAAATGCCCTCTGGTGTTAGAACAAAAGAACGACCAAATTTAAAGGGGTTTTGCACAGCATTTCATCACCAAACGTCTAATAATAACTTTAATATTAATAATCAACGCTTACCCAAAGGTTTGTATACAATATACATTAGATGAGCACCAGACAAGATCATATTCTGGTTTAATGGTTTGGATTTATACATTATTGCCATTGTAAAATTTTAGAATAAAGCTGAGGTACTATTTAATTTCATTCTCACAGTACCTTTCACAAACCTGACACAATTAATTTTCGCTATAGGCTGATTAACTCCAAACCCGAGTTATATAAACCGTCTTTTGGTAAATGCCCTCTGGTGTTAGAACAAAAGAACGACCAAATTTAAAGGGGTTTTGCACAGCATTTCATCACCAAACGTCTAATAATCACTTTAATATTAATAATCAACGCTTACCCAAAGGTTTGTATACAATATACATTAGATGAGCACCAGACAAGATCATATTCTGGTTTAATGGTTTGGATTTATACATTATTGCCATTGTAAAATTTTAGAATAAAGCTGAGGTACTATTTAATTTCATTCTCACAGTACCTTTCACATGTTATACAGATTAACATGCTTCATATAAAAGATTTTTTTCTTTATTACATTGTCATATTCTGTGCATATATTGAGAAGAGCATAAAGTATAGTGACTTAGACTTGAGTAAATATGAAATAAGACCAATATTTAATGTTTAGGCTACAGATATTACAATACTTGTAAAAATGTTTATGTAGATGAAAGGCAACAACATTTGGTCAAAACCAGTATGCTGTAACGGTGGTTAAATGACATGTGTAACATTTATTTTAACGAACAGCATGTTAACTTCTAAAGTTGAAAGTTTTTATGTGTGGTCGATTTTTTTCTTTATTACATTGTCATATTCTGTGCATATATTGAGAAGAGCATAAAGTATAGTGACTTAGACTTGAGTAAATATGAAATAAGACCAATATTTAAGCTACAGAGATTACAATACTTGTAAAAATGTTTATGTAGATGAAAGGCAACAACATTTGGTCAAAACCAGTATGCTGTAACGGTGGTTAAATGACATGTGTAACATTTATTTTAACGAACAGCATGTTAACTTCTAAAGTTGAAAGTTTTTATGTGTGGTCTTTGTTTTTGTGTAAAAATTTCACTGAGAAATGTGTGTACGAGTTCTCCAGTTTCAAGGAATCAGGATCCACAATCGTGTGAGAAGGCAAATGTCCTGAAAGGCTCTGCTCGCTGCAAACTTGTTTATAACAGTACTGAGCTCAAAAGCCTGTTTTTTTCAGCATGCCGTAGGCCTCATAGAGTTGTTCAAGAAGCTCCTCTTTCTCCTTTGCAGGAAGAAAGCAGGACTTTGCTGCATTTATATTCTGTGAAAACAGAAGCAGACAGGATCATTCAAGTCACTTATGCCATGACCAGAGTCCATTAGAGAGCCTGTTTAGGCAAATTGTGTCTCACCAGTCTCTTGAACTCCTCTTCAGTGAAATCCATGTATTTCTGCACCACCTGGTAGTCTGAGTTCAAGGTGGAGTTGAAGATGGTAGGGTCATCTGTATTTAAGGAGTAGTTAGCTTTGTCCTTCTTGAATCTGAAACACACAAGACTTTTAAAACTTGAACTAGTTAACTCTAGATCATTAAACAGAATCCTGGGTTAAACTGATTCACATTCCCTTTGATTTTGGCCACCTATACTGCCAAAATGGCAAGAAACATTGCACAAGTTTGGCAATGTAAAAGAGGCAGGAACCCGGCACTAATCCCGCTTCTAAATTACAAATGTGGGGAACGCCACTCTCTTGTGTACATGCATACGACAATTAGCAGAAGCAAAAGATTACAGTTTATAAAGTTTTAGACATGGATATTTTTCTTACTAAAATGCATCGATTCACTTCAGGAGTACAACCCCCCCCCCCGGTAGCTGTGTGGAGCACTTTTTATGATGGATGGATGCACTTTATTGGACTTCTAATGGCCGTTCACTGCCATTATGAAGCTTGGAGGAGCCAGGATATGTTTTAATATAGCTCAGGTTGTGTTCATATACACCTAGGATGGCTTAAGTGTGAGAATCAAATCAAGGGGTAATTTTCATTTTTGGGTGAACTATCCCTTTAAGTGCAGTATGAAAAGCCCAAGGTAAATTGTCCATTTTAATTCAATAATGCCATATTTCTAAGTGAAACATGATAGGCATTGAGGAAGAATGCACAGTAGTACTTTATTTTATCCTTCACAAACGAATTAGATGGTGAAACGCAACAGAAGTCAGATTGAATGGAAGTTACATTATTATCGAATAGCCTAACTGATGTTAATGGAAAAGTGGAATAACAGACACCATTCAATTGCAAGTAATTCACAGTAAGACCTGGAACATGCATTAAAAAAAAAAGAAAAAAAAGAGTAAATAAAGCTATCCTCACGTGATGAGAGGATGTTTAGTGAAGTCTGGGTCAGAGGCTCCTGTCAGTCTGCTGGAGACAGGACACATCTAGAGAAAGACAACACAGTGACACTAAACATGGTGTAGATTAATAACCTCCTTTAAACATCTCATAAATATTCTGGTAGCGAAAATATAAATATTAGTAAACTGAGAGACTGTCCAGCGACACATTTATAAACACAGATGTTTAAAACTGTCCACCGGAGGGCAGCATGGGATTATGTTTCAGGAAATCTTCCACTCGGTGTTTCTCAGTCCTGTTTCTGTCTCATCAAAACTAATTGTATGCGTCTCATTAATCTGACACAGCAGTTCAGGGGCCCGTTCTTCGTACGCCGCTTATTACATCCGAGATGATATCATCGCGCTAATCAGGATCTGGCTAATTGGGTTCTTTGAACGCACCTGTTGTTGATGATTAGTATGACTGGATTGAGTTATCTGAGATAATTGCGCATTCATGGGTTGGTTTAAAAGGGGTTATGTATTGATACTCGAAACCACGATCAGCAATGCAGCGATTGGCTGGCGACAAGACAGCAACTTAATGTCATCATATAATGAAAAAAGACACCTGACGAAAACCTTGACAAATTACATAAATGTTATAATAGATAAATGAAATATGCACTGTTTTTATTTTCCTTTTTTTTTTTTTTACATGATTCCCAATTATTTATATTCCGGATTTCTAATATTTGTATAGGCTTTACATTTTTATTTCAATGTAGTAATTAGCAATTCATTTAATTTTATATTTGAACAGATTTGTTACGTGACAGCATTAATTAAAGTTTCTTAAGGGTCAAGATCATGTTATCAGCATCTCCTGAGCTCCATCAAGCCACTCCCATAATATCTGTCACCACACAAATTAATGCACGACTCTACATTATCTGTATAGCATGTGTGTAAGACTCGAATACAATTATGAAGTAATAATTTTATGACGAATAAATCTTTCAGTGAGTAAAACTGGCTGTGTCTGTAGCATTAAAGACTACACAACATTATTATATTATCTTTAAATTCATTTTTAAATGATTATTATTTTTTAATTATTGTCCCTGGATTAGTAGGGTACTCTTGTAATAAAGTAGCGGTGGTAGACGACAGATTTTAAGTATCAATTCTGCTTAAAAAGATGCTATCTAATCCTGTTTACATGAAATAAGCCTGCTCTCCAGCAGGTTTAAGCTAAAAGACCTGTTGCTATGACAGCAACTCTGGGATGAGCTTGGAAGAACCAAACAATCAAAGATCATTCCAAATCATCAACAATCAAATCCAGCTAACTGAGTTAGCGACGTACGAAGAACGGGCCCCACGTCATGGAGCACACAGCTAATGAAACCATGAGCTGTTACATAAGAAAGATATCAGTGAAGTAAGTGCTTTCATGAATGCAATAAGGTCTGGTTATCTGTGACAAAAAATGTTTTGAAAGATAATGTATGTAAAAACAAAACTTAGTTAAAGGTAATTAAAAATGGCTCAGATAAGTGAAATTAGTTGCTTTATCATTTAAGCTTTATCATCATTGTTTTCAGATGCTACTTTGTTATTGACCCTAATATTGGGTCGTTACTGTATGTGAGCACTTTGACCAAGAACAAGGTCTTGTGCAACATGCAGATATACATGATGCATTGTAAAGTCATCGACGATAATGGCATTTTTATCTGACTAATAATGATGCAAATGTATGTGGGTGTGTATCTCAATGTGATTTCTGTGACTGTCAGGAAGCTGCCATCCTGTCTTACCTCAAAATGCATGTTTTGTTGTAGCAGTCGTTTATATAGAGCTTGATCTTCAAGCGTGTGGTATCCATGTCCAATGCGTTCTGCTTTCAGAACTTCCACAGCCTGCAAAGGGAGGGAACATTATGAAAAGAGTTGGCACATAGTTTTAGATCCGAGGGTGTTTTCTTGTGGAGTGACATTTTGAAAAATGAGCTGAGCGTTTGTGTTGTTTTCTAAAATATCTGCCTTTTATGATTTAGTACTTGGGAAGGAAATGTACTTCACAGACAGAATTTCCTCACAAGAATAACTAGCTAAAAACAGACTCAGCAGTGTTACACAATTTTCCATCTGTACAACAGATAGCAGATAGTGAATCGCTATGTTTTCGTGGGAAGCACACGAGTGGTTCTTGTGTTCTTGCTGAATACATGATAATAACTGCTGAGCAAAAGAGGAAACTCATACCTCCTTCACCACATTGGCAGAGCCCACTTCTCCTGCATGCACTGTTCTGTGCACCTCACTTCTGACGGCTTCCTGTCAAAAACAAAACCCACAGCTAGAACACTGCCAGCAACATCTGCTTTCCTGCAGATGGGAAAAAAAGCACCAAGCACTATCCAAACACAGCATCTGTAGCATGTACTGTATTATGCTTGCCTCATTAAACAAACGATATTGCTTTCAAACACTGTGTTTATAAGATTCAGTTAAGATCACAGGATGATAAGGAACTTGTTTTGCTTCCGGAACATCTCAGCTGCGGCTCTTAGCATGCGAATGGTATAAACAGATGTCTCTGTGTCTGTGCTTTTTAAATTATGAATTGTACAAGAGTTTCCAATTCAACAAAGTACAGTTAAATCTCTTAAAGTTTTAAATACATCAACTAATCAAACGGTTTTACTGTGATGTTAGACTTCAAATAGACAAAAAAGTTATTCATTTTTGCTAGGTAGTTCACCATCAGGGAAGCCAGGGGGAAAAAGACCTTGACAAAACGTTACGTTGATAAGACATACGATTATCATGTATGTCCTGTCAAATTCTGCAAAACTTGTTTCGTAACAGGTCTAATAAAAATGAGTTTAATCTAGATGGTCCACAGAGAAAAATGCAGCCAGAGACGTTTTTCTGGTTTCTCATGATGAAAACATTTCGCAAACACAGCTCATATGGACTGTATGTGTGTGTGTGTGTGTGTGTGTGTGTGTTTTCTTACCTCAAATGCTCTCTTGTGTCCTGGGTATGACTCACAGTTCATGGATTCATTTCCTGCTAGGTCTATTGCCACAACTCCATCTTTACGATACTTCTTACACAGCTCGACCACATCCATAGACCAATCTACAGCAACAATAAGCATTAGATTGTAACAGTCAATGATGTGGGTCCTCATATGATATATGCTGCATATACAGTAGGTACGGAAAGTATTCAGACCCCCTTAAATTTTTCACTCTTTGTTATATTGCAGCCATTTGCTAAAATCATTTAAGTTCATTTTTTTCCCTCATTAATGTACACACAGCACCCCATATTGACAGAAAAACACAGAATTGTTGACATTTTTGCAGATTTATTAAAAAAGAAAAACTGAAATATCACATGGTCCTAAATATTCAGACCCTTTGCTCAGTATTTAGTAGAAGCACCCTTTTGATCGAATACAGCCATGAGTCTTTTTGGGAAAGAGGCAACAAGTTTTTCACACCTGGATATAATTGCATGATATGGACAATTCAATAATTCTGTAATATGATTTAGAATATTCTAAATTTATAGTATTATCAATCTATAGTTGTATCTATAGTTAGTGTCTATATCTGAATAATACATATATACATATATACTAGGGCTGTAAAAAAAAATCGAATTTCGAATATTCGTCGAATTTAAAATAAAAATCCACATTCGAATGCAAAAACGTTGTATTCGAATTTTAGGTGTGCCTTAAGGAGGCAGCCTTGTCAGCAGCGCACGAGATGCGATGACGATGTAAGTGTCATTGCATTATAATGTTTTTGTTAGCCTATCCAGTTGAAGCCACTAGATGCGGCGCTGCTGCGTTGTTCATTAAAAATATAGCGGAAAAAGAGAACATCAATGCGGAGAAGATCTTGTTTACATCAAAACCGAAACCAAGCCGTTCACACAGAAGGCATATTTCATGCATTTTCTAGAGGGACATCTATTACTGTTGCACTCGCGTCTCGCACAAAAGAGCCGCATGTTTAGAAAGCCATGTAAAATTAATGCTCAACTTTGAAAAAAACATATTGAGACTTTATGGCGGGGTTTTCCCCATCCCACGGCATCTCATGTTTTTAAATGGAAAATGTACTCTGTGTGATTGGCTTTCCGCCCTTTGTATTAAACTATGCATACATACATTATGCTGTTTTGTTTATAGTTGTTTAAGCAACTTATTTATAATTATAAACATTATTTTAAACATTATGCACTTTTTTTCGCCGATAGTCATGTTATCTTATGCTTTGAATGACGCCCCCTCTTGAGAGAGAAGCCAAAAGCTTTTCTTCACCCTAACTGAAATTATGCATTTTAAATTAGAATATAATTCGAATTTTGATAATATTTAAGTACAAAATTCGAATTTAGTTTTTCAGCCATTTTGACAGCCCTAATATATATACACACACATAAAAAGATGCAATTTGGATTGGAATAAATATTGGCCTAACTGACAGCAAAAGAATATAATGCCTGTATACATATAATATTGGCCACCAATATAATGTGCACCACTCATAGAAGTGTATCAAGTGTAACTGTACACTGTACAAAAATCATTGATATGTTCAAAAATATTATATATGTTATGTGGCATTGTTTTGCTTTTTTCAAAATGAAAGAATTGAAACTTTCCGAATGGATGACTTTTAACTCTTCACTGTTCAAATGTTTGGGGTCAGTAAGATTGTCTATTTATTCATTTAAAAAAAAGGTAATTTTCTCTTTCAGCAAGGATATATTAAATTGATCAAAATGACAGTAAAAGATGGTTACAAAATTTCAAATTAATGCTGTTATTTTGAACTTTCTATTCATAAAAGAATCCTGAAAACATGTATCACTTTTTCCACAGTAATATTAAGTAATACTATAAACTGTTTTCAACATTAAGAATAATATTAAGAATAACTGTTTCTTGAGCAACAAATCACTCATGTGACACTGAAGACTGGAGTAATGACTGCTAAAAATCAGCTTTGCCATCACTGGAATATACTACATTTTTTAATACATTCAAATATAAAACGGTTATTTTAAATTGAAATAATATTTCACAGTATTAGTGTTTTTACTGTATTTTGATCAAATAAAAGTGAGCAACAGATACTTAAAAAAAACTAAAAACTTTTGAACGGCAGTGTACGTGACAGATCTCTTCAGTTTCAAAGGTTACATGAATAGTGTCTCTATTTACAAAACACATTACACATGAATCACCAAGGCTTCCAAATTCACAACAGCATTTCCAAACAGTCCATCTTGACTGAATTTAAGATGGAAACAACAAATTCTGCGCCAATCTGCAGGAGGTTCGGCCAGTGTCATGATGATTAAACACCATTTGGTCATAAGCATACAGTGGCTGTGGATGAATGGGTTTTTAATGAAGGATGACAGTGAGGCATTGCCTCTCAAACACACAGCACACTGGGTGGGGGTGGGTGGAGCAGAGGTGAGAGTGTATTACTTGGCTCGTGACGCAAGCAGCACAGAATGGACCTGACTTTGGTTTTGAAGGCCTTCTCTCCCTCTTTGAACCCCTGGTTCACCAGGTCCACCACGTCATCGGGAGTGATGTCTCCTCTGGGAGGAAGAGGGGAAGACAGGCAAGAACAAAGACGAGAACAGGGTTATTGTGCAAGAGAAAATGTAAACCAGCATGATTGTTGTAACATAAGAACAATAAACAATACATGCCACAAAACAGCTTTTGATTAGAGCAAATATGGTACACATACGGTTTTTGGTCCCAAGGAAGAGGATCCACTCCCTTGTTGGCCAGCAGATGAGGGCTGTATCTGGCTTCAACATAGAGCACTCCCTCTTCAGCCTTTGTCTCTACAAACTCGTAAGCTATTCTCTTGATGGCCTCTCTGTCCCCTCTGCAGATGGAACATGAAACAGATAAGATACCACGACAACCCCACCCCCTACCCCAATAGCCCCTCGCCACCTTCAAGACCTACATAATCTTTAAGAAACATACACACACACACATACATATATATACATACATGCATATGAATGTGTGTGTATACATATATATATATATATATATATATATATATATATATATACACACAAACACACACATACCAAGAATTTTCTTTTTTAGCTTGTGCTTTTCTAAGAAATGTTGTATTGTATCACTTATGTTGCTGCTGAATTGTCCTTTGAATTGCTTCTTTAAAAATTTCTCACTTGTAAGTTGCTTTTGCTAAAAGCATCTTCTAAATTAATAAATGTAAATGTCATGAGGTTATTATGTGTGTGTGTTTGTTTGTATGTAATTAAAGTGGCCCAAAACATCAAACATCATTATAAAACATCATCTGCATCATCTAAGAATATTCAAACAGATTGCAGTAGACTATAAATGCTTGAGTTGTTTTATGATGTCATAAAATTAAAGCATTCATGACTTCTTCATTTATGGACAAAGATAGCACATGCTTTAGGGAGATGTTATGTGAATGACTGAATTAACTGAATGAACTAGGCATTACTTTCACTTCCACACTCAGATAAAATCCTTCTTTATTGCATAACCATGCACTTGTTCCAAGAACACCCACAACTGGAGCAAGATACCAAAGGCCATAATCATTTGTACAAATCAGTAACGCTTATGCTATAATCCTTATCTTAAACAGCTCACTTGCACATTTTTTATTTTTTTTGAATTCCCTCTCTGAGTCACATTATGCTTTAAAGTGCTAAATAAAAGGGCTATTTGACTGCAACAACAAAGCATGTTTTCAAGTTACACCACATGACATGCATTGAACCTGTCTACAGCACGGGACAATAAAGAGTCCAGTGGGTGCCAAAAACAGCTAGCGAGTTCCCCATGTTGTTTTGGGGGAGGCGCATGCTGTAAACAAAGCCCTTTTAAAGCTTCCGAGGACTAGAGGTTCATTTTCAACTAAGCATGTCAGCTGCCGGCCCACAAAACTACCGGCTGCACTGCTTTTCAGGTCTTCATGTCAAAGCATCTATCTCTCACATTTGTGAATCTGAGTGGAAACGTGTAGAAACTTTCTCATTATCGGATTCTTGTTTAGAAGACTGTGCAGAGGTTATATGTCCGTTGCTATAGCGACACGTCATGAAAGTGTGACATGAGCTGCATGTAAAGATGTCTGCAGGACATCAGAAAGGATTCCATGCCCTTGAGGGTCTCTCCACCAGTAGTGATATAGTGAGGCTCTCTTACTTATTAACCACTTGAGCAATGCTTCAGATTTGTGCCAGTAATTGAGTTCACATCAATGGAATTCAATATTTACTTCCATGTGGTGAAGGGTGCAACAGCCATAGAGTGGCCTAGAATAATTTGATTCATTAGGAATTAAATTGTTTCCAGATTGAAAGAGATCTAAAAATATACTATGCAAAAAAAAAAAAGTACAAAAGCTGCCAATGGGCAATATCTTTTCAAAATATATACTTTACCTTATTTATCCCTAATTAGTGCCTTAAAGGTACATACCGTATCAGTTCCTAAATTGTACATATTATTCCCTAAATGGTAGAATTTAGTATAAATATTTGAAAGGGTATCTTTTGTACCTTTTTACTCTAATTTTCAAAATGTCTAAAAAAGAGCAATTATTGAACCCGAGCTTGATATCATAAGACTTTTATGACGTGTTGATTTAGTATGAATTCATACAATGTTATTTGAATGAAAACAAATGATTATTATAAAAAAAAATAAGCATGAAGGTCCGCACTTAAACCTAATCGTCAGTGTCATATTGTGCGAGAAAGTAAATCAAAAGATAATACAAATTTGCCAAAACGTGAAATTGCTTTTCAGAAACCTTTTTTTCTGTGAGGGGAGAATAGTCCTGAGCTGAGAGACAAAAATGTAACTGTTGTTGGTGCAAAAACTTAATGGAAAAAATGTAACAATGTCATAAAATTAAGGGAAAAACATCATATTTAGTGTGTTTTTTTTGCAGTTTAAATGATAAGGCTTCCATGCATTCTTCAAGCAAATTAGCAACAGAACTTATTTAGAGCCAGCAGACCTTTTCTCGGCACAACTACTTACGCAATGGCATGCATGTAGTGATTGAACTTGCCAAGGAATTCTGTGAGTGTGGCCGGCTCATGCATTATGACCAGGTCTCTCATTTCATCCTCGCCGTTCACAGGTAGAGTGATTCCCCGCCGCCTGAGACACAGTTACACCAGAGGTCACTGGTTAGAGTTTGAACGATTTAATAGAAAGACCACAGAATTGCCTAGAATTAGGTCATAATGTCTGTTTACCCAAGAACACATGGTGCTGTTGATTCATTATAAAAAAAATAATTTGAAGCTTATCTGATAACTTTGAATAGCCTAAGCATTACAAAATCTTTCATTCTCAGCCAAAAACAGATCACAACTTCATTATTGACCACAGGCTGTCAAAATGAATCATTGTATAAACCTATAGTCATTGTCAGTAGTTCATATTTGATGTTAGAGCAGTAGTGAAGGTGAAATTAGCAGTTAATATTGACGTAAATTTGGGACTGTTTCTTTGGCCTCAGAAGGCTCAAAATTTAACATACAAATGCAATTAAACATTAAATAATTAACATACTTAATATTATTATAAATGCTTACTATAAATATTATTACATACATAATTACTAATTATATAAATAATTATTAAAATAATATTTTCTGAGTAAATAATATTTTTCATTTTTGGTGAACTCTTCCTTTAAGGAGCTTCTGAGTCACTAGGAAAGACATTTAAATGAATGGGTTTCAGTGTATTTATCACAGTATGTAATTGGAATACGTCACTTACTTTGCTACTTCTACAATGGTCTTTATTCGAATAGCACCATCAAGATGCACATGTAGCTCAATCTGCAAAGATAAAAGAACAGGAATCAAATACAACGCCCACTTTTTCACACCACTGAACCACGTGACAAATGCTGACAGAGACACTTGTTGATGGCACAGAGCAGAAGCACATCCATCCAAACTCTGAGCTCCTTCCCGCGCAGCTGTGAAATGCTCCTCGTGGTCGTGGAGCGCATCTAGAATGTGGAATGCACGACTGGGTGAAATAAGTTCAGTGGAAAGGCCAGAGATGCCAGGGAGAGCTGTGAGAGAAGTGAATGTAATGGCTCCAATCTTCTGAGACGTATTAAGAGTTGTCCTGACAGATGACCAAATTAAATTGTGACCCCACTTCACCAGCAGCTGTGAAACAAACAGCAAGGAGCATAGAGACAAACCATAAAGAGAAACCCATTAAGTCATGGCTGTTAGAGAATGCAAAAACCCTCTATGTGGCGTCAACTGCTCTTATAGTATGTTGAATCACTGACTAAAGCATTTGGTTTGTGCCTTCTTTTTTACATTGTATTATTTGGGTACAAGAATTGTACATTTGCTTGTCATCATACCACCGTGAGTAGTGTATTCTTCTAACTATAAAGTTTACCAGTGAAGTTAGAAGAATGCACAGAAAAGATGCCAGCTTGTCTGATTCACAAGTATTTTATTGCGTATATGTGGTGAGTGAAAGTTTCGGTTTCATTGGATTAAATTTTATGTCGTTGCATACTTATGACATGAAAGTTGAGTTCATGAAATTTTGAGTTAGAATAGTTAGCAAGAGCATGATTATACACTCAACAAGGCTGTAAAAGCAGACTATGAGTAGATACGTTTTCTTGTTTGGCGTGAAGATATTTAATGTCTCCAACAACCTAGTCCCATTTAGCTACTTATTAGGAACTACATTTTTAAGCCAAGGTAAATGTTTAAAAAAATCACAAGTAGGTATTACTGATGTATTATACAGCATGTCATAGAGTAAAATATGAAAATATATTGAGCTTGTGTTAGCCACTAAACTTAACCAAATCAAAAATAGATTTAAAAAAACCATTGATTCAGGATTGCGAAATGGTAAAGGCTAAAATGTCTTGGTTGCAGGTTTTAGTCTATAAAAATCTGTCATCTCAGCAGCACTCTATTTCAGAATCCCAACTCCATAATACAATAACAAAGTGTGAGCATACAAAAATGTGAACTATATCTCATCATCAGTAGCTGTTCACTTCAATCCAGCTGAAAATGTTTGTTAATGGAAGAGTATCATCAGCTATAATGAAGACTGGCGAAATACTGAAATACTGTTGGTAAAAATATGATGGGAAACAGCACAATGTTTCACAATCTGAGGAAAATTAGAAAAACTAATAATCCAATCGTAGTCTAAACAATACGATTGCACAATGCTAGCTAAATTGCATGCTAGTAAGAAAGGGAATTCAAAAAATCACTCATGTTGTGAATACTCTCTTTCGATAACAAGTCAAAACATGGACATAAAGCATAAAGAGTTCACAGCATTTTATTACAACAGCATACTAATTACAATGCTATTTCAGGAGATTAGATTTTTTTTTCTTGTGTCACCAGAGACCAATTTTAGGGAAACAGAGCGTTCACAGGAAATTCTCAAGAGAAAAAAGGGGCCACAGGATCATGGTGCACGTGTGCAAACAGCTGTGCCACATCTTTGACCAAACTGCTCTGCACAACAACCTAAGTAATGGCTGTTCAGTGCATCATATTTCCTTTATGCTCTCATATACAGTTAACACAAAAGATAAAGACACTTTCAAACAGAACAGACCCTCATGAGTATGATAGGAACCACTGAAAGAAGTCAACACTGATTAAGCAGTGTGATCTCCATGGGCCAGTCGGACATGAGAAAGGACACTGCAGTGTATTAAGTCCCTTCCCCCACCCCCAGAGGAAAATGTGGTGTGCAAGCAGCCTTTTATACCAAATGATATCAATACCTTCAGCCCAGTTCAATGACAGAAATGCTCACGCTTTGTAAAGGCTTTACTTGAGGCACCTGGTAAATCTACGTAATCGCGAAGCAGTGAAAGCAAACTGGGGTTGATACAGGACAATAAAACTATTCTTTACATTCTTTTGCAGCACAAGAACTAAATGTTAAGTATTCACTCATAATAAAAAGCAGACTAAAGTGAGGCTTTGGAGTCTAATAACATTTAAAACAGACATCTGCTTGTAAACCATTTTATATCAAACACGCCTGAATAACTGAATCCATTTTCAGGATTATTAAAACCATTTTTGGTACGACACTGTGTCTTTGGCAGAACTAAACAAGGATGATGTCACCTCTATTGCTTTCAATTCATTGGTCTTTAGCGCTCAGTTTCTCGGATCAGGTTAACAGAGCATGAGGCCCAATGAGACTTCTTCAAGCACTCTCTGCATGGGTCTTCTTGCAGTCCGTTTAATTACTACAATAAACAACTCACTGAATATAAAAGTTCCCAAAATTATACATTTATGCTGCAAAAGCATTCACTATGTACAATATTATGAGCAATACTTTCGCATGCTCTACCACGGTTGTTTTCCCTGCCATCATGTAAGCCATGTGTGCTCAAATATCAAAAGGAAGACGTTCCAAGTGGAAAAACTGTCTTGTCTGTACAAGCCTAAGCTGTCACCCTCTTTATACTTGAATAGGTTCAAATGTGCATTGCAAACGACTACTGTAGTTGCTCTAATATTAATGTCACTCGGTAATTGGGTGGGGTTGAATATGCATGGACTGCATGTTGCTTAAATATTTATAAAACTGACTTGCTTGCAACTGCTCACATTATGGAATCAGATGACTCTTAAAAGCTGCAAAGTTTGTTATGAAAATACTGCCTGCTTGTTAAAGGCGTGTTTGTGTGTACAGATGAGTGATTCATTGTTGTGCTTGCATTACACTTGAAGGAGTATCCTATAAAATGGCACTGGATGTACTGCGTGCATAATGCACTTATTGTCAGCTGGTGATTAAAAAACAAGCAATGTGACTTTTCTGTATTGTTTCACTGTGACTAATCATGTAATCATTAGATGTGGAACAAAGTCCTGGGCAACTGATAAAATATGGAAATTACTTTCTGTTAAGTGTTACATAATCTGTTGAATTTCTGATATAGCAAGTTTTATGAAGGGTGTGATTTAGTCAAGGAATGGTAAATTGTTTACCGCCTACAATAATTGTAGCTCCTTGTTAGGACTGTTACAAATCACCATAAAATTGCCCTCTTAACCACAAATTAAACAACAAAGTAAGACCTTTTGAATGTGTTTACAATGAGGAATCTAAAGAGAATGCTGTACTTTATATGGCAGCCTCTCACACTATACTATCGACAATGGTGTAGATTCACACTGTAATTATTATGTAATTCACAAAGAAACTTTAAGAAGGGTATCGCATAAGAAAGAATAAGGCTTGAATGCTACTTTCAGTGATGCTGGTGTCAGCCCTCCAGCTGCATATGGTCAGTGTAATACAAGTGCGGTACAGGGCAGACATTGTGTCAATTCTCTCATATGGGTTATTGACACTTCCACAAATGATGTGCTTATCGGCATGTTTCTTGTATCAGTTCTTCAAGCTGACTTCTGCTTGCTCAGTCAGTACAATAACTCCAAAGGGCAGATACAATGTATCTCCCTGCAAGGCCAAGAAGTGTGAACATTATCCTGGAGTTTTCTCTCCTTTTCCATAAATCATCATGCTTCTTTTGATGCATCAGCCGCAATGGCAAGATGTTTTTGATTGTCTTTTTATGAATATGTTACAATAATTTTATGATCGTGTTTCTTCACCTTATTTAACTTCAAACATTTTTACACTGAAATTACCTTTAACATTAAGTCTCCTCCTCCTTATTAAGCATCAGATTTAGGTCTTAATCTTATAGATATCTAAATTCATCATGACAATTAATATGTGTGCAGATTATGCTGTATTATCAATTTATTAAAACAGCATTCAACCCTGAATGTATGTTAAGAATAACAACAATAACAGTAATGACACTATACTAACCTTAGGTTTATCAAATGCTGGTTTTCCATTCTTTTCTGCCATTGTCTTTCCTCGAAGTGTAAATCTGTCGTGATACAACTTGAACACGCGCTCTCCGGAACCTGTCAGCTCAAGCGGCGAAGTTCAGCTTCCCCATGCGCTTTACTTTTATACACTCCAGCCCAGGCGCGGACAAAGAACACGCCTTTATGAACAGATAACATGAGCGATGAACCCCGCCTCTACATCATCGTGCAATAAGCCAACTAAACACGGCTGAACACAACAGAGTGACAACAATAACCAAGCAAACTTAACTGACAAGCGCACCTGATCTACGCCAAGCGAAGAGATTAAACCGGAATCCTATTAGAAGCCTTTTAGAAGCAGAGTAATGCCACATGTACACTACTATCGACGCGACGCGAGATACTCGAATGCTGAAGCTGTCAACGCTGCAAGCGAGTGTGTCGGAAGCGTTCTATTTGCGTCGCGTCGCTCATGTAGAGAGGTTCAGCGATGTTTAGAAGAGGTTAGGCTTATGGCTAGTTAATGTCAGTTTGTCAGTCAGTTTTTTTGGCGTATTGATTACCATTTGTATAACCACAGTTTTAATACAAAAACCATGGTTAAACTATGGTTAGTGTAGCAATGCTTAATTTGTGGTTGCCATGGTTTAACTATATTAACCATGTTTTTTTTAATTTGTAGTAAAACCATGGTTAATTTGGTTGAATAACTCATACTAAATGTTTAAATGCAAAGTTAACGTTACATAGCTTACTTAAAGAAGAGCTTGGTAATCGTGAGAAATGCTGATATATTATGTTGTGTGATCGAATTGCTACTGAACCTGTTCACAAAATCGGTCGCGAATTGAATCAAGCTGTCACCGAGCAGTTCGGAAATTCAGCTGAAAACAGGCACAAAGTTGGCTTGACGTTGGATGTTCGATATTCGCAAATCAAGGGACCGTCTCTAAAGTCAAGTCAAGTCACCTTTATTTATATAGCGCTTTTAATAATACAGATTGTGTCAAAGCAACTGTACAGCATTAATTAGGAAATAGTGTGTCAATAATGCAAAATGACAATAGTAAACACTCATTTTTCAGTTAAAGGCAGTTCATCATTGAAACTTCTTAATATGATTTAAGAGACCACGATTCAAACAATTGTTAACCTTGTTTATTTGTGACTACTTTTTTAGAAAGACGTTTAACTGTAATTAGCAAGTAATCAACAATTCCCCGTTTACCTCCCTTTGTAGGCTATGACTGAGCACATTACAGTGAGGATCTCCATCCATCTTAATATTTTTTTTTAGGCAACTCAGGTTATTAAACGGTTATGAGGTTGTTGTATAGGAAATGTCTTTGCTTGTGTGACTGTGTTGTTTACAAGTAAATTTAAGTTGAATAATTTTTTGTTTTTTTGTGAGTCTGAGACTGGATGAAGGGTAAGTTTTGCATTTATGTACTAAATAATGAATATAAACCATATCTTAAGATGAGCCAACATTTCAACGACTTCTGATTTTTTCCCCTACATTTCTATCATTAGATCATTAGACAGCTGAGTTCGATCAGGTCATAGGGTGGAAGATGTAGGAGCGAGGAAACGATTTAGCTGCGATTGGAGATGCAGATCCACCGGTCAGTGGGGTTTGGCCTATTAAACGGATAGTTCACCCAAAAATGAAAATGCTGTCATTAATTACTCACTCTCATGTCGTTCCACACCTGTAAGACCTTTGTTCATCTTCAGAACACAAATGAGGATATTTTTGATGAAATCCGAGGGCTTTCTGTTCCCCCATTGGCAGCAACGCAACTAAAACATTCAAGGTCCAGAACGGTAGGAAAGACATCATTAAAGTAATCCATGTAAGGGAAACAGGTCAATTTAGCTCAAAGGGAATCATTTAAGATTTTAAAGGGAATTTGGACAGAATCACTGTTTTACTGCTGATCACTGAGACGGCCAGCGATTCATTGAACGGGCCGCATAACATCCATTCTGCAATGGATATTTATATCCAAAATATAGTGAAAACACTATTAATTAGCACAGTAACAAGATCGGCAGTTTAAGACATTAACTTGTAAGCACAAAACACAAGATACTTCTCTTTTCAATATAAATAAGGCTTTATTGGATAAATCTAATACATATAAACTAATCTAACACATAAACACACACATTCACACAAGTTGCAGAAAGAGTGAAAGTGAGGAAATAATTAGTTTAAGAGAATGAAAATGTGAAATCCCAAGTTTACAGCAATATGTGCAATTGCATAGATCTGAACAACCATCAATCACTTAACCCTCGCATTGAGTTCCTCAGTGAGGTTCAAATTTATATTAAATGCACCAGTTCAGCTAGAATCTGGAGGTACTTCCGTTGCGTTGCCTGTACGGGGGTTCCCTTTGTTGTGGTCCTTGCAGAACAAGGGGTTTACCGTGGTCGCTGATTGGCTGGAAGTTCAGTCTTGGGAAGCCAGTGGTTGTGCGTTGGCTTACGACGCGGAGCTGTGGTCTGGTTAAAGTTTTAGACGGCACTCGAGGTCGGACTCGGAGATGCGGCGTTAGGCAAAACTTAACTTGGAACACGAAACTCTTAACGGAAAATAAAATAAACTAAAGTAAAGAAATAGAAGTAAAGTTTGACGAGACTAGGTGGCGTTTCTCCTCATGGTTTTGGAGGAGCTGGCGTGTAAACCAGAGCACGCTCAAAGAGCGCAAAAAGTGAAGCCATGACCAAAAAAGAAGAGGATGAGGGAAGAGAGAAGAGAGGAGTTGAAGAGAGTGATTTGATGGTGTCCTGAGTATTTAAACTGGGCTTT